CCTCACCAAGATATAATCTGCTAAAAATTCAGGTATGCAGATTTTGTGACTGAAATCTCCAGACTTTCTCAGGGTCGGGATAGGCTACTCCCCCCACCTCCCAGTACTTTTGGAAGCCTCAGTAAGTCACATCCATACCCAAAAGCGGCCACCCAACTCAAAAGCTACTCCAGCCTACTGTCCCGACAAAAATACTGAATGCCCCGAACAAACACCATGACCTCTTAGCACCATATTGCAAATCATAATGCACAAAAGGAAAAGGAGAGGAGAGAAAGAAGAAAAGTGCCTCCTGTAGAGGGAGGCAGGGGGTGGGAGATGGGGATGTTGGGGGATGGTGGTAGGAAACAGGGGACATTGGTAGTGGGAAATGTACACTGGTGGAGGGATGGGTGCTGGATCATTGCATGAACTAAAACCCAATTATAAACAGCTTTGTAATAGTCTATCTCACAGATATTCAATTAAAAAATTAAAATGAACAAAATAAATGGTGACAATGTCTACATATCTTAAAAGATTAGAACCTTGAAAAATTGCAAGTTAACATTACTGTAACCATGTTGCCTAAACGATAATAAAATTAAAAATACACATATTTTTACTCTTTTTGTTTTTGGGCCACAACTAGCAACGCTCAAGGGTTACTCATAGCTCTGCACTCAGAAATTACTCTGGTTCAGCACTCCTGGCAGTGATCGGGGTACTCATATGGGATTGAAACTAGTCAGCTTTATGCAAAGCAGTGCCCTACCCACTGTATAATCTCTCCAGCCTCCCAAAATACACATTTTTTAAAAAGTAGCATATATGATCATGCAAACAAAAAACAGACACTGAAAACATTCTGATCAGCTCATCCTTTATAGTCATTTACAAGTTTCATATTTTTTGAAATTGTCTTTAGGGATGAGTTTTGACAAGAAGTAAGCAAAAAGCAGATTAATTCCAGTTGGGAATAAAACTGCAATGCTCTCAGCAGGCAAACAGTTTTCTTGTAAAAATCTTCACTATCCCATATACATCAAATTTTCAGCAATTCCAACTTCCAGGTAAACCAGTAATACAGTAATTTTTTTAAACTGGTTAAAAAAAAATACCAGTAATATAAAGCAAATTTTTCATTAGAATTGTTAAGAGTTCAATAAACGACTTGTCTTCTAAAAAAAATTACCTTCTAATCCACATGGTATTTCTTCCAACTCTAAGAAAATGAACTTTATTATTTACAAACTGAAAACTAACACGATAGAGAAGTATTTTCATGGCACAAGAATAAAATATTTAAGAAACAAAAGTTCCAGGGATTGAACCCAGGTTGGCTGCGCTGCATGGAAGGAATGTGCCCTGCCCATTGTAGTGTCTCTCTAGAGGCACTCAGTTTCTTTTAAGCTTCTTTTCAGCTCAAAAATTATATGGTCATTTTTTATTTCAGATCCTGTTCAGTACTTCTTGCTCATGTGTGTGTCACATAATAACAATACATTGATGTTTTATTACCTTAAAGTCTATTAAGAAACAAAGAAGTGTGAGACTGTGTTTGAGAGATGGGGTGTTCTGGAGAGAGGGGTGGCAGGAAGGAGAGAGAGAAAGAGCAAGCCTAAACATCTTTCTAAATAGGAGGCGTTTACTAAGTTTCCTGACACCCGAATTAACCAAGTAAGCCTTTTAAACCCTTACAATAAAACATTAAAACTTAATGTGGCTATAATCTCTCCCTTACAAAAAACACTGTTCCAAATAATCTGGCTTCAAGTATGGCTTAAAAATTTAAAAAGGTAAAATGTATTATATTCAGCACACAGCTCTTCCATATGACCACATTAAAAAAGAAACACACACACACACACACACACACACACACACACACACACACACACACACACCCCTCCCAGGACCATTGTAATACATTGTATTTTCTGAATGCAACACTTAGCTCAGGCTTACTACCCTGACAAATAAAGGAAAGCACTTTATGAAGCCAATTTAATTGGGAGGTGACAGAAAACATACAGCCATTTTCTTTAGCCTTATCATTGAATTGGCTTCAGCTCCAATCTGTGGCAAATCCCACTCAACAGAAGAAATTAACCAGGTCAGCAGAACAGGTGCTACGTTGTGTCTGTCAAGGGCCTGGCATCACCACAATTACTCGCACACAATGAAGCAGTAATCTTTACAGATCATCTCTCCCAAGAAGCATATTGGAGTTGGGGGGAAGGGGGGCAGAACGAAGGGAGGCGGAGGGTTGGGGGGTGGGGGCAGTGGGAAGAAGAGGAATCGGAGGCAAAGAGAAAAGAAAATGAATGTGCAGCTGCCTCGCGGCTCGGCAGATGTCGGGCTGTGATGTACGAGGCTAGGATAAGCTGTCGTAGCCTGCTGCCAAAGAGTGGTAAGTGATTAAAGCCTGCACAGTTCTAAGCCCCACTTGCACCCATTCCTCGCTGTGCTGCCAGATGTTGGCAACTGGTCCAGTTGCTACTGACTGTGCGTGGACGGCAGCAGTTGGTACAGCAGCAAAGCAATCTGGAATGCTTCCGGAGATGCTGTGCATTAACAAGTGTCACCCATCATTCACCTTTACAGAAGGCTGAAACAACTCCAATTTGCTGCCACTTCCCTCTTGGGAAACAGCCAAGATAAAGTTGTGCCTGGCAGGCCCATTTGTTTCACTCAGGTGTTTCAGCTGCCTTGCTGACCTCTATTAGTTTAAGTTTTAATTTAGATTAACCCCAGCACCCCAATTAACCAGCAAGGGGAAAAGCTAAGATGTGACTAGTCATAACTCTGAAATCAGAATTTATCGAAGTTAAAATTATTAATTGGGATGAAGGGCCAATCAAGTAAATGCTATTTCTTTTTAAACAGACCTCCAGGTGAAAAAAAAAATTTTTTTTCTTTCAGACTAAGGATTGCTCGTGGAAGCAACTTCTCTCCAGTAATTTCAGTTTATTAAGCCTATTTAATTTATGATGCACTTTCCATCAAACAACGTACACTTCAATTAATGAGGACTGGAACATTTTTTATTGTCTCCCATGATCTCACACGATTATACAGCATTAATATCCCATATCAGGTACATTCTTAGACATTCTAGAACAAAATAGAGTTCCCTACTCTCCTGACAAATGGATATAATAAGAGAAGAAAAGAATAAAATAAATCAGGACCTCCGACTAGGAACACCTGAGGCCACACCAATCCTCTTTCCTAGACCCTCTCATCATTATTTTATGGCGATCACTGTATTGGACACTAGATTGAACACAGAAATTAACAGAACGTCTTTGTTTGGTTTTGGGTTTTGGATCACACCCAGCAGTGCAAGAGATACTCCCACAGCGATACCTAGAGGACTGTGAAATGCTGGGCATCACCCAGGGGTGGGGATGGGGTGGCAGGAAGAAACGGGGTTTCCTGTATACAAAGCATGCACTGACATTCTGAACTATCTCCCCAACCCATCTCTCTACTCTCTCTCTCCTACCCTCTTTCTTTGTCTGTCTGTCTGTGTGTCTCTCTCTCCACCCCCACTACCACCACACACACATCCAGCGTTGCTCAGGAGTTATACCAGGCTCTGCACTCAGGTGAGCTCAGGGGACCATCTCCCGTCTTTCTTTTTTTAACTGCAAAACCTGACAAAACAATACAGAACATACATAGAAACTGGTTTCACAGTTTCTTCCTTCATGCTTCATACGCACAGTATAGCTGTTATAGCTAAACCTTCAACAAGCAGTTGCAAGAGGTGACATGAAAAAATGGAGGAAGCCAGGGCCAGGGTGATGGTACAGCAGTTAGGGTACCTGCCTTGCCTGCTGCCGAACCAGGTTCAACCCCCGGAAACCCATATGGTCCCCCAAGCTCACCAGGAGTGATCCCTGAATGCAGGGAAGCCCTGGGTACAATCGGGTGTGGCCAACAAAAAAATTTTCAGGTCAGGGATGATGATCTCCTTGCATGCACAGCTGACCTGGAATCGAGCCCCGCCAGCAGTAAGTCCTGTGCACTGTCAGGTGTGGCCCCAAAACAAAAACCAAAAAAAAGGAAAGGAAAAAAATTTATCCTGATGAACAGCTCAACAAAAATTGGCATGTTTCCAGCGCCTGACTTTCCAGAGCTAGAAAGGGTACTGCCTAAAGCACATTTCATTAAAAAGAATGATTTTATCAAGAGACCCGGAATTATGGAAAATTATTTTAGTTCTTTAGAATTGCTCAAATGTTCAGTCTACCTTAACAGTAGTCAGCATCATTTAAAAAAGGCAGCAAGCTATCAGACAACAATATTAGGGAAACACATGAAGGACAACTGTGAAGAGATTCTAAGAACCGAACCGTATTCCAACCTCTACCAATTGTTTTTATCTTAAAAGCACTAACTATGCTTATAATCCTAGAAGCAGACAATCTCAGTACACACTTAACCAACTTGAACAGGCACAGAAAGACTTGGAAAAACTTAACAGGTAAGAGAACCAGAAGTGCAACTCAGGAACGCTGGGATAGCAGATTTTTAGTTCCATATCCTGACCTAATAAGAACGGGGTAAGAAACCAAACAACTAATTAATACGAAGATCTTCTATTAGAGTTATCAAAAACCAATGAGAAAGAAAAAAAAACACCTGACTCAAAGAAGGTGAAACTGTTTCACAGATAATTCACTCTCTCTCTAGTACAGGAGGGAAGGCACTTGCCTTGCAGACAACTCACCTCAGTTCAATCCCCAGCACCAGATATGGTTCCCCGAGCCCTGCCGGGGGTCACTCCTGAGCAGAGACAGGAATAGCCCTGGCTGTACTGGTTTTCATTTCCAAACAGAAAACGCAAGCCAAAGAAAAGCAACAGAGGCACAACTAAAGCACTAACAGGAATTCTAACCCCCAGTCTGACTCTATCCTTTAAACACCAGGGATCCACGGGTCAGAGAATTCTGCCAGCAGCAGTTTGGAAATGCTCAAGTCTGACTCTATCGAGAGTGTAAATATCATACCTGGTGATAAAAGTCATCATCATCGAAGATTTCTTCATCCAGGTCTTTCAGGTGAGCATTGGCTGGAGCTTCAGGAAGGACCTCCTGTATCAAGGAGAAGAAAGAAGGGGTCCCAGGGAAGTCATCAAGGTAATGCAAGTGCTTCCTTGACAAAGGACTGTTCTCCTTAAGATGTGAAGAGCTCTTGAATAGGAGCAAGAGTACAGCAGGTAGGCCACTGGCCTCGCATGCGTCCAACCCGTCTATGATCCGAGGCATCCCATATGGTGCCCCGAGCCCACCAAGTGTGATCCCTGAACGCAGAGCCAGACGTAACAGGTGCATAATAGGAAAGAACCACAGTCAATAATTATGTGAAAATATGTTTAACCTCATTCTTTTTTTTTCTTTCTTTTAGAATCACACCTGGCGACACACAGGGGTTATTCCTGGCTCTGCACTCAGGAATCAACCCTGCAGTGCTCAGGGGACCATATGGGATGCTGGGAATCGAACCCGGGTGAGCCGTGTGCAAGGCAAATGCCCTACTCGCTGTGCTATCGCTCTAGCCCCTGTTTAACCTCATTCTAATTAAATAGATTTCAATGAAAACTGTCACCTCCCCCCCCCCCACCTCTAAAATGGGCCATACTCAGTACTAGAAAACACAAATGGTGAGATTAGTAATTATGCAGCCAGTTTTGGAGGCTATTTGGCAGCATCTATTATGATTTAACCTGTATCTTCTTTAGCGTTTCCACTTCAGAAATCTATTCCATACATAAGAACACAAAGGTAAGTTCTTAGTAATGTTCCTGCCATTGTTTTGAAAATGGGAGGCAACATAAATATCCAGAGCCTGAATACACCAGAGGTAGCATGTACCCCCATACAACAGAATCCTTTTGTCCTCAGGAAAAATGTGGGTAGGTCTCTATACAATAGAGCAAAGTAGCTAAGATAGCTGACATGGTTAAGTTTGATTTTATGTATAGTCAAATATTTTATATATTACCTATGTCCATCTCATTAAATATTTTATTTCTGTGGATGTGTTATATGCTATATTGTTTTTTGTCTTGTTTTTGGACCACACCTGCCAGTGCTCCGCGCTTACACCTTGCTCTGTACCCAGGGACCATAACCAGAAGGCTCGGAGGACCATATGGGGTGGTGGGCTCGAACCAAGGTGCTTGCCTTACCCCTGTGCTAGCCCTCTAGCCCCATGCCACTAGAGATTGTCAAGGGAACAGAAAAATAACTGAGAGATAGTTATGACTGTGAACACTCATTAGATTTAGGGAAATTTAGGTCCTAGAATTTGCAGACTGGGAGAATTTTACTTTTCTTTTTTTTTAACTTTTTTTAAAAAATTTTTATTAGTGAAACACCTTGAGGTACAGTTGTAGACTTAGAAATTTTTGTGCTTGGGTTTCAATTATACAATGATCCCATCCCTCCACCAGTGCCCATTTTCCACCACCACTGAGCCCAGTATCCCTCCCACCCTCCATCCCTCCCAACCCCCCCATCCCACCCTGCCTCTGTGGCAGAGCATTCCCTTTTGTTCTCTCTCTCCTTTTGGGTGCTGTGGTTTGCAAAAGAGGCATTGAGTGGCAATCATGTTCGGTCTATAGTCTACTTTGAGCATGCATCTCCCATCCTGGGAGGATCCTCCCAACACCCTTTGTTTGGCGCTCCCTCCTCTATCTGAGCTGCCTTTCCCCTAGCATGTGCGTCTGGCTTTTAAAGAGAAAAAAAAAAGTCTTTGGGGGCTGGAGCAATAGTACAGTGGGTAGGGCATTTTCCTTGCACGCAGCTGACCTGGGTTCGATTCCCAGCATCCCATATGGTCCCCTGAGCACTGCCAGGAGTAATTCCTGAGTGCAGAGCCAGGAATAACCCCTGTGCATCGCCGGGTGAGATCCAAAAAGAAAAAAAAATAAGTCTTTTGCACTTAAATAAAATATTAGGTTAATTTTTCCTGTTTCTTTCTTGGGGGTGGGGGGCATGGAAGGGGCCCCACATCTGGCACTGGCTACTCCCAGAAGTGCTTGGGACTGGGCAGTGCCAGGCAGTGCCCAGTTCCACCTGGGCCTCTCTCAAGTAAAGCTCTCTGACCCCTGTCTATACTCTTTCAATAAAGAAAATAGTTCCCTTTGTTTATCTATTTTGGTTGTGGTGCAATCTCAGAGTGCAGCGCTGGAACTAAACCCAGACTGCAAGGCAAATATCCTAATCCCTGTACTATCTCTCCAGCCCACCACTTTTAAAGAACCTTTTCCTCCCACATACTCTAAGCTTCTTAACAATCTAGTAACATGGTGCATTTTTTGGTGGGAAATGGGGGCATACCCAGTGCTAGGGGCTACTCCCCACTCGGTGCTTAGGGGAAATAGCAGTGCTGGGTTCAAACTCAAGGCTCCCATAAGCAAAGCATGTGCTCAAGCCCTCTGAGCTATCTCTCAGGCCCTAATGTACTGTTTTCTTTCACTTAATGCTTTGCCGTTTTCTCTAATGGCACCATGGATTAAACCTGGGGTCTCACATCTGCAAGGCAGGCCACTCTACCACTAAGCCACACCCCCAGATCTTTCACTAACTTCTTATACCAAACGGAGTATCTACAAGCAGGTAATCATATATTTTTTGGAGCGGGGGAGGACTTTCCTTGGAGGGGGAAGTGCTCAGGGGCTATTCCTGGCTCTGTGCTCAGGAATGATCCCCAAGGGATACTCAGGAGACCATATATGGTGCTTGGAATTCAAATGGGGTCAGAGGAATAAAAGGCAAGCACCTAACCCCACCCCTGCATTATCTCTCTGGCCATGGGAATCAAATTTTTAAGTCAACGAGCTTCAGGAAAATGCTTTCCATAACCACATCACTGAGTTCTTACCGGCTGTCCTGGCACATTCTCTGGCACAGGCGGTGCTACTGGATCAGGTTTGCCAAGAACTCGGTAGATAGAGCGCTTGGTCTGTGTCCTTCGCAGTAATCTTTCTTTGTCCATCAAAATATGATCAATCTGAGTCAAGATTGAGCGTTCAAAAGCACCAAAACCCTGCAACAATATTAACCAACGTCAGATAATATAGAAAGTCTGTACTAAAGGCAGCTACAAGGATTTTTCTATCTGTGTCAGCAGATAAACAATGCTCCTTCCAAGAGAGACTTTTTGTTAAAAGACTGGGTTTGTGAGTGGCTATAGCTGTTCTCTGGGAGAATAAATAAATAAAAAAGAGTTTTAAGCAGGTTACATCACTTTCCTAAACCCATAAAGTAATTTCTGCTCCTTATATTAAAAACTGCTTTATAATCCATTTTTTCAAAGAATTTCTAATATTAAAACACAAGGCCAAAATTTCTACAATTGTGTAATCAAGTTAAAGTTGATATAAACTTGGATAGCACAGCAGGTAGGGCATTTGCCTTGCACATGGTCGACCCGGGTTTGATTCCCAGCATCCCAGATGGTCCCCAAGCACGCCAGGAGTAATTCCTGAGTGCAGAACCAGGAGTAACCCCTGAGCATCGCCGGGTGTGACCCAAAAAGCAAAATAATAATAATAATAACAATGATAATAATAATAATAAATTTTAAAAATTAAGTTGGTATAAACCACAGTGGTAGTTCAGTAAATTTTTCTGCCAATTTTTCTGGTGAGCATATAGCATGACATCATCCATGCAAATGAGCTATAATTCTGCTACTAGATGCTATAAAATTGCTTCTGGTTGCCACAACCAGTCTTACATAAGTATGTCCATGCACACACTTGCCTTCCCCAATTTTCCAGAAGCCAGCTTAGTTTTGTCGTGCCACTTCTGAAGTGTACGGTTTCTATAGACTGCAAAGTCAGCAAAACGCTTTGCCATAAAGCTGGGATAATCTTCCATCTCCAGCTTCCTCTTTGCTGGGAACCTTCTCTGCTTCTTCTTCTCTTCTACTTGTTCATCTTCACTGGAAATCTCCTCCTCACTAGAAAACCAATATGAACATTAAGTCCAGAGAAAATAAAAACTCCTTAAATAAAAAGTCAAGCTCTTATGAAATCTATTCTGGCTACATTTTATGTAACATCGTAGATGTGAGAACAGTTGTGTGTGTGTATGTGTGTGTGCGCGTGCGCATTCGCGCATGTGTTTGCGTGTGTGTGTACTGCAACTGCTTAAAAAGCATGCTCATAAGGTTAAACAAAGGGGGCATGGTGCTGCCAGCTGGTCAATCTGTACCTATGAGGCGAGTGCATCAGCAGCCTGATGGCGCCTTCCGACTTCCAGATACCCCAAAATTGCTGCTGTGCCTTTGGCCAGACCCCAAAAACTTGGGGCAAAGTTTACCAAGAAAGTAAATGGCCAAAAGTTAGGTATGTGGGAGACACACCCACAAACCACCTCCAGCTCAGTTATATACTTGGAGGCATGGCCTCTCTGGTTCCTGATCAAACTGCTTAACGGCCATGATCCCTGAGATTCAGAAACAAATCTCAAAACCCAACGGCTTTGGGCAGAAATGCGTCCAGTCCCTGCAGTAGGTTACTGGCGCTGGACCACCCCAGGTGGGAACAGGTTTCATGCCTTGGCCTGTTCCCCCTGGCGGCCTGCTGGCCGCCATCCTCTAGAGGCCACTGGACAGTCAGGTTTGTGCCTACAGTGACAAGACATTTGGAGCCTCATGGGATGGTGGTGGAGCCAGCCTTTTCCTCCCCGTCCCAACAAGACCTCGAGTCACCGCCCACGAACGGCCTCTCCGGCTCCTGATCAAGCTGCTTAATGGCCATGATCCCAGAGACTCAGAAACAAATCTTGAAACTCAGCGGCTTTTGGCAGAAATGCATCTGGATCACGCAGTAGGTTACTGTTGCCAGGCCACCCCAAGGGGGAAAGGATGCAGTCCCTCCGCCTGATCCCCCTTGGCGGCTTGGTGGCTGCCATCCGCCAGTGGACAGTCAGGTTTGGGCCCACAGTGACGAGACACACAGGATGGGGGTGGAGCCGGCCCTTTCCTCCCCATCCCAACAAGACCCCGAGTCACCACCCAAAAACGGCCTTTCTGGCTCCTGATCAAGCTGCTTAATGGCTATGATCCAAGAGACTCAGGAACAAATCTCAGAACCCAGAAGGTTTTGGCAGAAATCCCTCCAGACTTAGTTGTTAAGATTTTGGAATTTCAAAATCGCATAGCCACTACTGCAGCCACACAACATCATTGCTGGTTATTCATAACCAGCAATAGAAAACAAATTGTCTACTGTTGCCTTTTCAGCAGATCTGAGAGTTGGGGTAAAATCCCAAATAATAATGGTGGGTCTGGAGTCAAAATATTGAATGTAATCAAAGCAGAGGGAGAGGAATGTGGAAATCATCTGCCCCATATGTAGGGGGAGGGTGTGGGATTGGGGAATACTGGAGTTTTGGGGGGTGGAGAATGGGTACTTGTGAAGGTACAGGTGTTTCATTGTATGACCAAGACTTAAACCCGAAAGCTTTGTAACTGCTCTCACGGTGATTCAATAAATAAAATTATAAAAAATGAAAAAAAAATAAGGTTAAACAAAAGCTCATGTAACTTTTAAAATAAATATACAAATCATAGTTTTGAAATATTTTTTGAAAGGTAAGAAAACTATAAAAACAAACAAGATTGTAAAAACATTTTATTACGAATGCATTTAGAACCTGGCCTATACTGTTATAAAAGGTCTTTAAAAATTAAAGACATAACCGTATTTGTATGACCTTAGTCTCTGAATCAGTAAGAGGAATAAGTCTCCTCACAACCAATTGTTCAGAAAAACTGAGTAGTATTAAAACCAAATGAAGAGAATCTGGATGTAAAAAAACTCAAAGGAGAAGATAACAGAAGCACTAAACCACAACAAACAAAGGAGATCCCTTCCAACAATACACTCATCTGCATGCATGGGACTACTGGGTCCAGTACATAGTAGGTGTTCAATAAATGTGAGTTCCTCTTTCTTTTTGGGGGGCGGGGGGTCGAGGGAGAAGATAGACACCTGGTGGCGCTCAGGACTTACATCTGGCTCTGCACTCAGAAATCACTGCTGGCAGTGCTTGGGGGACCATATGGGATGCAGGAATCACCACAGATAGACTCAGGGCAAGGCCAATGCCCTACCCACTATACTACTGCACCAGCCCTGTGGGTTCCTTTTGTCCTTCTAGTGGACTCATTAGAAATGAATGGAACAAAGACTATTCCCAAGGGAGAGCAATGTGCAACAGGCGCAAACAAGAGAAAGAACCTTCACCAAATGAAATGATTTCCAAAAGAATAAGATTCATTCTGCTGTTTTCTAAAAAAAAGAAAAAAGTCCGTGCTTCAAAATTACTGCTTTTGAGTCAGAGATTCCATGGTATGGGCACAAGTACCTCATAAATTTTAAACAATAACATTAAAAATGTGGGATATAAGAACAAGCTGGGATATAAGAACAGGCTTTGCATTCACGAGACCTGCATTAGATTCCTGACACTACCTGGTCCCCTCAACCACATAGTGACACCGCTCCACCACCACCACCACCACCATCACCACCAGCCAGCAGAGATGGTAGTAGCTGGAGTCGGAGTTCAAAACAAAGCGAAACACACAAAACCAAGCCCTCTCCCCTGAGCTGAGCAGACATCTCACAGAGCTAGAGAGACGCTCTGTAAGACATCACCCTGGCTTCCACTTCCATCTCCAACAGCAGCCAGAGATCTCCCAACCTAATCCCTAAACAGACACACATAAATTCTGGGAACAATTCAAATGCAAAGGGAGAAAAGTAACTCCACCATATCTACTCCCTCCTTACCTTTCTGCTTTGGGCTTTGTTCCATCTACTAGATACCTAGTGTCAGGGTACTGGAACAGCAACTCTTCCTGAAGATCAACCAATGATCTCAACAATGCTTTTAATGCCTTGTGACCTGGCAATGAAGCAGAAAAATAACAATTATCTGTTAAGTCTCCAAAGTAAGTGATGTCTGTAACTCACTATCCCCAAGCAGTGCTGGTGGGTTGCAGTGGGGGGCAGGCACGAAATCAAAACTCTCTGAAATAGAGTTCCTGAAATATTAACAGTCCTATTTCATAGGGCTGTTCTGAGCAACAAGACAATGTTTAAGAGGCTTAGCAAACCACCTATGATAAATTGTGAAATCTTAAATTTAGTGAGTTTGACAAACTCCTTCCCTGTCTATCATCATAGCCAGCTGTTGTTTTCATTTCTTGGGTACTTTTCCTCAAGTTACCCACTGACCTGGATTATCCCTCCACCAATCAATTCCCTAATTCTCCACCTTCTCCTAAGGTGCTCCTAATTTAGCCTTAAACATCTCCTGCACCCCCACTCCAAAGGACCCCACCCCTTTACAAACCTGCCTTGGCCTCAGTTTCAGCTGCTACCTGATCCATCTCATCTCTCAAAACTCCCTGAGGGGAGTTCCTGTGCAAGACCCAAGTTAAGGGCTTAATGTTAGATGCACTGAATTGTCAATTAAAAATTTACACACAAGGAGTATGTTCTCAGCTGTCTCTACTCACAGCCAATAGGACGCATTCGTTATGCAGCTACCCAGGGTTAAGTATATGGTCTTTTCCAATAAAAAACGGGTCCTCCGAGAATCGAGGCTCATATTTCTTTTCCAGCATAATCTTCCTAAAGGAGCTAATTAGACACCAATAATCACTTGTGAAGTGTTGATAGCACTCAGACTTGTCTCCGGTAAACAAACATTCCAGTTCTCATTCTCGGCACTTTCAAGGGGATCTGCACGTGGGGACCGCACGTGGAGACCTTCACCCTTATCAGCATGCCCTGTCAGAAGCAGGACTTTTTCTCTGGACCAAATATTTCTCCCTTGTCTTATGTTCTCTTCTCTCCTGCTTCACGCGTTTTCCTGAGATCACCGACACTTGGGTGTCCTTCCTGTGTAGCTTTGACTGCTCAGTCCTGTATGTTCAAGTTGTGCTATGTCCATCCCTGGCTACGCTTTCCTCAGCCCGTTTCCCCTGGCTCTCCTGTCATCTTCTCATACGCGTTTCTCCTTGCATTCAGCAATCCCTACCATCAATCGTCTTTCATTTCCACACTCACTCCAGCCCACACAAACATCAGTTTTAGCGATTTGTTTTTTGGCTGAGTTGTCTCCTCAATATTTCATATCCCTACCTGCTTCCTCAATTGGAGACCGACACATGAGTTTATAGAGATTCTCCATGAAGATCATACTGTAATATTCTATTTTTTAACATGTGCTAAGAGTTAGCCCACTTGAGAGCAATCTTGGTCAAAAGAATCTCAATGTCTCTGTGACTACTTGGCATTCCTGCAAATAACCTTCATGGAAGACTACATAAGCAACCCCCTCTGCAAGTAAGAGAAGAGCTTTCACCCCATCTTTTCTAAGAAATTTTTTACATGTTTGTAACCTGCCATACAGAAATGTAAACTGAAAATCAAAAAGATGCCTCAGACTACTGCCAAGACTCATGAAAAAAAAAAAAGAATCTGGGGATCAGAGTGGTAGCACAGCAGATAGGGTGTTTGCCTTGCATGCAGCCGACGTTCAATCCCCAGCAACCATATGGTCCCCATGCACTGCCAGGAGTCATTCCTGAGTGCAGAGCCAGGAGTAACCCCTGAGTATTGCCAGGTGTGACCCAAAAAGCCAAAAAAAATAAATAAAATAAAATCAAACATGGGAGGTGGCTTACTGGCAGAGTATCTGTACTGTACGTATGAGGCCCTGCAGGGACAAAAATAATAAATTTCTGTTAAATATGGTTCTAAGGATGTTAGAGAGATAGTATAACTGGTACTGTTTTGCAAGCAACCAACCAGGGTTCAATCCCTGGCAAATGCATCTAGGTCCCATCTCTGCCAGAAGTAAGCCCTGAACACAGCTGGTTGTGGCCCAAGATCATTCCCAGAAAAAAAATTTTTTTAAAAAATCACTTGATATCCCGTTACTCATCAATTTGCTCGAGCGGGCACCAGTAACGTCTCCATTCATCCCTGTTGCATGCTAGCGTAGTCCAATGGCATCTGTTCGTTCTAGGAATATAAAGAGCCTCAAACTGATAGTTCAGGGTCTTGACAAACAAGTCTGACCATCTCGTAGGTAGGTGGCCACGCGATCTTTTGACCTCCCGTGGAATCCAGTCGGTAATGGCTCTAGTCCAGTGGTCATCTCTGAATCTCATTACGTGTCCAGCCCATCTGATTTTCGATACCTTGGCAAACGAGACAGCGTCCCTGATTCTTGAGTGTTGACGGAGGTCGGAACTCCGGATTCCTTCTCTCATTTGAGCGAAGCATGATACTCCAGGCATAGCTCTTTCAATTCCTTTTTGAGAGACCCGAATAGCGTTCTCATCCTGTTTTCGTAGGGCCCAGGTCTCTGAGGCATATGTTAATGCAGGAAGAACAGTGGAATCAAAGAGATGTGCTTGGAGCTGGAGGTTCTTCATCCTCTTAGTTATTTCTTCGATGCTCTTGAATGTGTTCCAAGCCACTCTCTTCCTCCTGCGCAACTCAGGTGCCAGGTCATTCGTCATGTTGACTTCTCGACCTAGGTACACATAACTGTTGCATTCGGAGATGGTCGTTTTGTTGAGAGTGAATGGAACGTCAGGAACGAGACTGTTTCTCATGAACATTGTCTTTGTGAGATTCAGCTGTAATCCAACCTTTCCACACTCACGGTCAAAGTCGGTCAGCATTTGTGCCACTTGGCTGATGTTTGGTGTTATTAAGAATGATGTCATCAGCAAAGCAGAGGTGGTGTAGTTGCCTACCATCTATCTTCACTCGCATTCCTTCCCATTCCAGTCGTCGCATGATGTTCTCGAGAGTGGCTCTGAAAAGTTTCGGTGAAATAGTATCATCCTGCCGAACTCCTCTCTTGACATCGATGATCACTTCTTTGTAGAATGGTGATATCCTGGTAGTGAATCCGTAATACAGCTCATGGAGGGTACTGATGTATTGAGTTTGAACGCCCTGATTGGTTTGGGCTTCAATGACCACTTCCGTCTCAACAGAATCAAAGGCCTTCTTTAAATCAATGAACGTTGGACAGAGCGGCATCTTGAACTCCCGAGAAACCTCAATGAGCTTGGTTATCGTGTGGATATGGTCGATGGTGCTGAATCCTTTTCGGAACCCGGCTTGCTCACATGTTTGTCCTTCATCTAGTGTTCTACCAATCCTATTCAGGATGACTCGAGTGAACAGCTTGTAAATGACACACAATAGGCAGATTGGGCGATAGTTGCCAATGTCGTGGATGTTTCCCTTCTTGTACAGTAGTACAGTCCTGCTAGCTTTCAGACAGGTACCGTGTGAAGAGCCGAGCCAGTGTACTGATGGTAGGTTCTTCAGGTGTTCATGTCTGACCTTGTCTGAGCCAGGTGCTCTTTGTTTCTTTACCTATGAGATGGCATGTAGGATTTCAGAAGGGAGAACATTGGGAACGACATATCCATCCTGCGGAATTTGGTATGTGGGCAAGTGGGCGTGGCTATTAAAGAGATCTGAGTAGAAGTCATGAATAAACTTCTCCGTTGCCCTTCTGGAAGATGTGATAGATCCATCAGGACGTCGGAGGGCAGTCATCTTGGTCTTGTAGTTGGTGAAGGACAAGTGGGCGTTACGAATACTATTCCCAGCTTCAGCCGCATCTACCAGCACTGCTGCTCTTCTCTCTTTGAGGTCTTCCTTGATCGCTTCTCTGCACTGCTTTGCAAGCTCGGACATTCACTTGCGGTTGCCCAAGGCATGCACCAAGCCATGTTGGTGAATAAGCTCAAGAGTTTGCAAAGACAGGCTTTTTTTTTTTTTTTAAAAAAGGAGCTAAAAAGTTATTTATTTTCAAGAAGAGTAAACAATGCAGTCTTAGTCTTCTGGCAGATTTGTGAAATGGATTAAGTATAAAGAAGATGAAAGAAGGCAAAAATAAAACAAAAATCAAAGATAAAATTATTTTGTTTTTTGGCTTGTTTGTTTGTTTGGTGCCACACCGAAAGTTTTCAGTGCTTACCCCAGACTCTGTGTTCAGAGGAACACTCCTGGAAGTGCTCAGGTGGTGCTAGAAGAATAACCTAGTTTAAATGTACCCAATGTATAAGTCAGGTAATGCAAAATTATGTGAACACATGGAAAATGAGGAGAGCAAAGTACAAAAATGCTAACTATAAATATCAGGTTACCACAAAAGATCATCTGTGAAGAGAACTGAGAATTACAGATATCCTAAGTTCTGAGTTTCTGTTGTATAGAGAAACTTAAGAATATAAAAAGGCACTAATATTTGGAAGAAAGCCCATGACAATGGAGTCATCTTGTTTCATCTAAATTCCATATAAGTACAGAAAAACTACAGCTTTTACCTCCTTTTCTAGAAATAGCTAAATCTAGATACTGCTGGAAAATAAGAGACAGAGACCATCTTTTCCTAAATGAAACTGTAAATCAATCCCACATTTGTAAAGCAGTTTTCAAATTTTGCAAGGCCAAATCTTGGAAAATATTAGGCTAAGTGAAATGAGACAGCTACAAAAGGATAAAAATTATATGATTATACTTATAGGGGCACCTAAAATAGTCAAATTCATCGATGTAGAAAATAGAATAGTGGCTACCATAGTCAGGGAAAAAGAAGAAATAAGGTTTTATTGGATATGGAGTTCCAGTTAGACTAAATACAAATTCTGGAGAGAAACAGGTGTGATGGTTACATAATGCACTTAACGATACTGAACTATTCACTTAAAAATGGCTAGAATGTTATATTTGGTTGCCATTTTGTTATCATTTTACCAAAAAGCACTTCTCACTAACTCAGTCCATCATTACACAGAAAAAAAAAAAAAAACTATAGTCCTTCAATCTTGAGCTCACCCACAAAAAAACAAAAACATAAAA